ACCACAGTGCTCAGCTATTTCATTTAAAAATTTTTATTATTAGCATATATTCTACAAAAAAATGGGTTCCATGATGACATTTTCATACACATATATATATGTATGTAGTGTACTTTGATCATATTCATCCCCTATTACCACCTCATCCTTTCTCCTACTTGTCCCCCTCTTCTCAAATAGTTTTCCTCTTCTTTCTACTTCATTGTTTTATATAGTAGAATATTATTCTAATTTATGTATACATGCATTAATTTCCTTATTCATTTATCTAATGGTGGACATTTTAGTTATCTCCAAGTTTTTGGCTATTGAAAGTGAAGCTGCTATGAACATTTGTGTTCATATTATATTTACACTTGATTACTATTTAATATATATTTACATTGATAATAAACTATATTATTTATGGTTTATTATATTTGTATTGATTGTATACTGTCTTTAATACCTTCTTAGATTTTTAGTGACTATATTTTGCAGGTCCCAAGGAGGAAAAAATATGAGTGACTAAAAAGACTTTTTTTTTTGGTCTTTTTGAGACAGGGTCTCCCTGTAGCCCCCAGCTGTCCTGGAACTCACTATGTAGACCAGGCTGGCCTTGAACTCACAGAGCTCTGCCTGCCTGTGCCTCTCAAGTGCTGGGACTACAGGCGTGCACCACCATGCCCTAAAAAGATGTTTTAAATCAATACTACCCTAGAAATATATGACATGATCATTAAGATTTATTGTTTTCATAGCTGGGTCTTGTAGTATCATATTAGGTTTGCTGTTTTTTTGTTTGTTCTTTTTTTTATGTGTATGAGTGTTTTGCCTGCACACACTTAAGTGCACCAGTGCATGCAATGCCCTTGGAGGTCAGAAGAGGGTATCTGATCCCTTGGAACTGAAGTTAGCTGCCATGTGGGTGCTGGGAAGTGAACCTGGGGGTCCTCTATAAGTGCACTTATCCACTGAACCATCTCTCCAGCCCGTTTTTTTTTTTGGGGGGGGCGGTGACAGAGTATCATTGTGTAGCCCTGGCTAGCCTGAAATTTGCTATGTAGACCAGGCTGGCCTTGAGCTTGTGATTCTCTTGCATCTGCCTCTGAATGCAGGAATACAGGTATGAGCCACTACACCTGGCTTATAAAGATTGTATAGCCAGAGTTTGGAATGTGGCTTAGTGGTAGAATGCTTGCTTAGCATACATAAGACCCTGAGTTTGATTCTCAGTACTGAACAGTGGTAGGGGAACAGGACATGAGAGACCTAGTTTCAGGCTTGTTTACTTCCAAATAAACTTCATTGTAAAATATATATCTCAAAATACATTGTATAAAATTCTCAAAGAATTAATATTTTTTAATTTTTAAAAAAATATTTTTATTTTATGTATATGAGTGTATTGCCTGCATGTAGGTACGTGCACCTGTGTCATGCAATACCCGTGAGGACAGAAAAGGCCATCGGATCCCCTGGAACAGGAGTTACGGACAGTTGTTAGCTGCCATGTGGGTGCTGGGATTTGAACCCAGGTCTTCTGCAAGAACGACCAGTGTTCTTAACCGCTGAGCCACCTCTCCAGCCCAGAATTAATTTTTTTTTTTGTCTTTTTTGAGACAGGGTCTCCTTGTAACCCCAGCTTCCCTGGAACTCACTATGCAGACCAAGCTGGCCTCGAACTCACAAAGATCCACCTGCCTCTGCCTCCCAAGTGCTGGGATTAAAGGCCTGCGCCACCACGTCCGGCTCAGAATTAATATTTTTAAAGAGTGATATTTTTTAAAGGCCTCCAAATAAGCTCCATTTGGAGAAAAAAAAGAAAAAAAAAAGCTATATGGCTCTAAGCCAAGTGTGATTTGCACCTGTAATCCCAGCATTTAGGAGGCTGAAACAGGGAGTCACTATGGGTTCAAAGTCAGCTTGGGCCACATAATAAGTTCAGGAAAGCCTAGGCTACAGAGACTCTGTCTCAAAAAAAAAAAAAAAAAAAAAAAAAAAAAACCTAAAGAAAAATATTACATGGCCCTTAAGATCAAAGAGCAAATCCTTTTGCATCTAGACACAGTAGCTATACAATATTGAGTGCTCTAGCAGCCACTTTCTAAGTTTTAAATAATTTTCTGTATTTATTTGTCAAATCATTGTTGTATCTCACAGGTTTCTTCCAAAGTAAACTCCACATGGTATCCAGTATCCTTCTCTTCCTCTTCAGTGGTAAGTGTATTTGGCACTGAAGATTGGCTTCTGGGAAGAAATCTAGTGTTAGTTTGGAGTATTTCCTTTTTTAAAAAAATAATTTATTATTTTTATTTTATGTGTATGAGTGTATTGCCTGCATGTATAATGATTGTGAGACCCTATGTGGGTGCTGGGGACTGAACCCCAGTTCTCTACAAGAGCAGTCAGTGCTCTTAACCGCTGAGCCATCTCTCTAGCCCTGGGATATTTCCTTTTATATGATTGTGATCAAAGTATATATAATTGTAGTTGTTAATTTTGTTTTTTTTTTAAAAAAAACAGGTGTGTGCCACCACACTCAGAATTTTCTATTTTGTTTTTTTTTTCCCTCTAATACTTTATCTATTGTTTTGAGCAGCTTTACTTTTATAAGATGTTCTTTGGAATGATGATATTTTAGTGATTGTATACTAGTCCATCAAATGTATGTAGCCTTAATTTCTTCACAGAACATGTAGGTTGACTCAGTTTCTTAGGATTATAGATAAATATTTTTATATAGATTTTAAAATTCCTCTGGATTATTTTCATCTTGAACTTTATTTACTGTGTTAAAAGATATAAACAAGCCAGGTATGGTGGCACACGCCTTTAATTCCAGCACTGGGGAGGCAGAGGCAGGCAGATTTCTGTGAGTTTAAGGCCAGCCTGGTCTACATAGTGAGTTCCAGGACAGCTGGTACCACAGGAAGATCCTGTCTCAAAAAGACCAAAAAAATAAAAAAAGATATAAACATGTCCTGGCCCAAGAGACTCCCAGATAGTAACCCAGCATAGAACTCGGAAAATGAACAGCAGACCCCAATCTTATCTAAAGGAATATTGACAACTGTTTGCTGCTAGATGAGGAACAGCTGAACTTCCTAAAACAAAGTCCTCTAGATAGGCTGACTACATTCACCGGATGGACAAGTACTGGGGAATGGCTGAGGGTGCCAACAACACAGTGGACAGTAGCAGAGATGACAGAGTATAAGGGCTCTAGTTGGGGGGGGGAGGCTGTGGGAGGGTGCCATCTGGGAAATCGGTGTATAGATGAATAAGATGGTTTGGGATGTTCTGCATGATATACACACAAAAAAATCAACAAATTAAAAATGAGTTATATTTGAGGAGGAAACATAAAAATTTATGTCATGTTAATTATATCCATACACAGGTGCCAAGGATCCAAGGGCACTGACTATGACTACCAGTAATCAGATACATACAGATTAGAGATGCATTTGCCAACATCTAAGTGTTATTAGCAAAAACAATGAGGCTTTTTGTAAGAAACAGTATATTTTTTAATGAAATGGAGATCTTTTTTAAAGGTTAAAAACTCAATTTATGTCTTACAGGGTTTATACTGAGTTCAATATTGTATAACTGTATTAATTCAACTGTGAACCTAAAAATTTTATAGCCACTTTTGAAAGAGATGTATCTTTGCTCTGGAAATTGTTATTGAGTATGTTAAAGCTGTAATGAAATGCTTCTTCTAAAAATTAAAAAATTAAAATTAAAATTTTTTTTTAAAAGATATAAACATTTCCATGGCTACTAGAAGCTTAAAATTTGGGGGGAAAGAGCTGGAGAGATGTGTCAGTGGTTAAGAGTATTTGCTGCTCTTAGTGCCAGGTGTGGTAGTGCACACCTTGTAGTCCCCCAGCACTTGGGGGGCAGAGGCAGATGGATCTCTGTGAGTTCAAGGCCAGCCTGGTCTACATAATGAGTTCAAGTCAGTTAGGGCTACAGGGAGACCCTGTTTCAAAAAATAAAAAAAAAGGTATTTGCTGCCTTTTCAAAGACCAGATTTTGGTTCCTAGCACCCACATCAGGTGGCTTGTAACAATTGCCTATAACTTCCAGGGGACTGCAACATCCTCTTCTTCTGGCCTCCAGAGTCACATACAGGCATGTGTTTATAACACAGGCACACATACACATAAACAATTTAAAAAATCTTTTTTTTTAATTGAGGGAGGTATGTTGCCTAGGGTAGTTTTGAACTCCTGGGCTCAAGTGAACCTCCCTAGCATCCCAAGTATTGAGATCAAAGAAGTGAACACCACTTTTTTCTACAGGTTTTGTTGAACGTGTCAGATAGTGGTCTTCTTAATAACCTTTAGAGTTCTTTTTATAGATTATATGTCTCTCAATCATCTATAGTACCTATAATCTAATAAAGAAGGACTGCTGTCCCAAATTATCCTCCCTCCCTCCCCCACCCTTCCTTCCTTTTTTCATCATATTCCCTGCTGTGGTTTGAATATGGCTTGTCTCATCCAAAACTCATGTTGGAATTTGATTACTAGTGTTGGAAGCTTTACCTTTAAGACATGCTTAGGTAGTTAAAAGAGATTAATGACCTTCTCATCCACTTGCCCTTTTGATTTTCTGCTCTATTATTGTAACATGAGGCCTTTGCCCCAGAAGTGGTTGTCCTGTCTTCTAGCCTCCAGAACTCAAAGATAAACTTATTTCCTTTCTAAATTACCCAGTTTAATGTATTCTGTTATAACAACAAACAACAAAAATGTTCTAAGACAGACTCCTTTGAAAATGTAATATAAGCAAGCTACTCGGAAAAAAAATATACATAGTGTTGGAACCCCAGTTTGGGGTACCCAACGTCCATAGGAGGCCGCTCCCCAATAACTCAGTCCTCAGACCAGGAGATGCAACAAGCATGAGGATTTATTATGTTTTGCAAAACGGACCCCTGCCTCACTCGGAGGGCAGAAGCCCAGAGCCCAGTTCACAGGCTTCTTTTAAAGACAAAGACCACAAACTAGAGAGAAAGCGGCAGTAACGTCACAAGCGGCGGCTATGTGCCAAGCAGAGGTGGGGGGAATTTCTGGGATGATTTCCAGCTTTGGGCAAAGAGCATGAAAAAGGTCAGCTCAGCTTGTTCTTAGCATTTAGAATTATTTTTTTATTTTTATTTTTTTGTACAGTTCTTTGGCCTGAAGGACTTATTTCTTTGTCTTTAGCCTAGGGGGACTGACTTAGGGTCCTTCAATAGATAAAAAATATTTTCAAAACCTTTGTATTGTCAGGGTATGTGTGGCAATTTGGCAGAAAGTCAGTAGGCCAAGTCATAATGGATCATCTCTGATTGACAGACTAGCTGCTGTTTTTAGTATAAGTTTCACAGTGACTTTTGAAGTTCACTAAGTGACTAGCAGGGGTTTTCTTTTTCCCATGGTGTTGGGAAGCTCTGTCACATCTTGATTTGGGGAGGGGGTGTTTTGTTTTGTTTTAGGGGGGTAGAGGCCAGGCTGGCTTCAAACTCAAAGATCTGCCTGCTTCTACCTCCCAAGCACTATGATTAAAGGCATGTAACACCACACCCAGCTTCTGCCACATCTTAATATTCACTATGGACAAGAGTATTGTGTATCAGGCTAAGAGTGGTAGCACATGTCTTTAATTCCAACAGGTGGGTCTCTGTGAGTTCCAGGCCAGCCAGGGGCTACATAGTAAGACCCTGTCTCAAAAAAAAAAAAAGAAAGAAAGAAAAAGGAAAGGGAAAAGGGGGAAAGGGAAAAAAACAATTATCATGTATTTGTTTCCTAGGCATAGCATTTCTAGAGACCAGAAAATAGCATCATCAACAGAAGCAAAACAATTAATACAAAGTTTTATGTTTTCTCCCCCCATAGCCAAATGTAAAGCTCTTCATTGATGGGAAATTTGTTGAATCCAAAAGTGACAAATGGATTGACATCCACAACCCTGTAAGCAAAACTTCTTTGAAACTTAAACTGACTAGCCTAGAATTCTTGGAACAGGGTGCAAAGGTGGGGGCCTGGAAATCTCTCATGTTGCCTCTGTGACCAGATGAACATGGAGCAGGTGGGGACCTGGCAAAATATGATGGCTTCTTTTCAGGCTACCAATGAGGTCATTGGTCGGGTCCCTCAGTCCACCAAAGTTGAAATGGATGCAGCAGTTGCTGCTTGCAAACGTGCTTTCCCTGCATGGGCAGACACATCAATTTTAAGCCGACAGCAGGTCCTACTCCGCTATCAACAACTTATTAAAGAAAACTTGGTAAGAAATCCTCAGAAACTTGTTCACCTGCCCTCTCTAGCTCTACAATACAAAGGAAACATTGATCATGACTCTTTCCCTTATTTTGCCCTCTCTCAGTTTTGTTTTCCCTTGGATACTTGAGAATTAAAAGGAGGAAAATAAGGGCTGGGTATAGAGCTCAGGAGCAAGACAGTGGGTTCATCTGGGTATGGTGGTACATGTTTGCAATCCCAGCACTTGGGAGGTAGAGGAAGGAGAATCAGGAGCTCAAGGCTACCTTCAAATACATCACGAGTTAGACACATGAGACACTGTCTAAAAACAAAGACAACAAAAAGCAAAACCCCATGGATTCTATCCCTAATACTAGATAAATAAAACATTCTTGCATTAATTTCTGTTTGTTTATTTTCTCTCTAGAAAGAAATTGCCAGGTTAATCACATTGGAACAAGGAAAAACCCTAGCTGATGCTGAAGGAGATGTATTTCGAGGCCTTCGTAAGCTGGGAGCCCATCTTGGGACTTGTGGGAGAGATCAAAGGAAGATGGGAGGCAAAGATCCCAGAATGGGGAGGTTGCTTCTTTCTTTACATAGATTTTTCTAACCTATGATATCATTTTTCTTATTTGTTTTGATTTATTTGCTTTTGTTTTTGAGGCAGAGTCTCACTATGTATCTCTGGCTACTCTGGAACTTAGTAGATAGCCCAGGCTGGCTTTAATTCATGGTAATCCTGCCTCAGCCACCTGTGTACTAGGATTATAAAGTGTGGACCACCATGCCCAGTAATACCTTTTTGAATGTTTATTAAAAAACAAAAAGGTGCCGGGTGTGGTGACGCATGCCTTTAATCCCAGCACTTGGGAGGCAGAGGCAGGCAGATCTTTGTGAGTTCGAGGCCAGCCTGGTCTACATAGTGAGTTCCAGGACAGCTGAGGCTACAGGGGGACCCTGTCTCAAAAAGACAAAATCAAAACAAAACAAAACAAAAAACCCAAAAAAGTTACAGGATATACTGTTTAAAAAAGACAACAAAAAGAAAAAAGACCCATGGATTCTATCCCCAGCACCAGATAAATAAAACATTCTTGCATTAGTACCTGTCAAGTACCTATGAGACTGATTTACTACAGAACATATGTACATCTCATTGTCTTTTTTCCTACTCAGCAATCTCAGTTTATATGACCTCTTTACATGGAAGGGCATATCCCTATCACTGACCTGATCCACTCCCTGTTCTAGGAATTGAATAGGACATGACAAAGCTAAGTAGTGTTCAGCTTGGGAAGCTGGTGACCTGACTTCTTCTTTGTTCCAGAGGTAGTTGAGCATGCCTGTAGTGTGACATCCCTCATGCTGGGAGAGACTATGCCATCTATCACCAAAGACATGGACCTTTATTCCTACCGTCTGCCTCTGGGAGTATGTGCAGGCATTGCTCCATTTAATTTTCCAGCCATGATCCCCCTTTGGATGTTTCCCATGGCCATGGTTTGTGGGAATACTTTCCTAATGAAACCATCAGAACGAGTTCCTGGAGCAACTATGCTTCTTGCTAAGCTGCTGCAGGATTCTGGTGCCCCTGATGGAACACTGAACATCATCCATGGACAACATGAAGGTAACTAACTGCCCATCTCTGTGTGGCTGCTTAATCTGACTCAAAGAAATCAAAGTATATATTAATGATTAGGTATTTTAGGATGAGGAAATTAGGAAGGAAAGGATTTACTACTAGTAACCCCCAAGTTTGAAGGTAATATGTCTTAACTGTGGTAAAGTAACTGGGGCATAGCAGTGCTTCTTACTCTACACTACACAGTGAGATACCAGAAATATGGATTAGAACTAGACAAAGATGAAATTAAAGAAAAATATATTACCTTAGTTAATCTCTACAACAACCCTTTAAAGAAGGTACTGCTAGGGTTGGAGAGATGGCTTAGCAGTTAAGAGCACTGGCAACTTTTGCACTCACATGGCAGCTATCAACCATCTGTAACTCCAGTTCCAGGGGATCCGATGCCCTCTTTGACCTCCCTGGGCATTGTACAACATGGGTGCACGTACATGCAGGAAATACACTTATACACATAAAATGAAAATATTTAAAAAATAAAGTACTGTTTCCATCTTATAGATGAGAAAAATTGAGGCAGAGTACAATTAAGTAATTTGCTCCAAGTAACACTAGTAGAAAATTAGGATCTGTATATCCAGAAAGGCTGGCTCTGATTCTTGCTTTTTTTTAAAAAAATTTTTTTTCTTGATTTATTTTTATGTATATAGGTGAACCTGTGTAATGCCTGCAGAGGTCAGAAGAAGGTTTCAGATTCCATAGAACTGGAGTTAGAGATGGTTATTAGCCACCCTGTGGGTGCTAAGAACTGAGCCTGGGTCTTCTGTAAGAGTAGCCAGTGCTCTTAACTGCACTGCTGAGCTATCTCTCCAGCCCCTGGTTCTTGCTTTTTAAATAGTATGCCGTATCACTTCTTATATAAAGGCCTAAGTGAGAATCTTAGTGTATAGTGACAGTTAAGGACATAATGTATTCTTTTTTTATTTTATTTATTTTTATTTTATGTGTATGCATGTATTGCCTGCATGTAAGTAAGTGCACCTGTGACATGCAATGCCCAAGGAAGTCAGAAGAGGTTGTCAGATCCCCTGGGACTGGAGTTACAGACAGCTGTTAGCTGTCATGTGGGTGCTGGGATTTGAACCAGGGTCTTCTGCAAGAACAACCAGTGTTCTTAACTGCTGAGCCATCTCTCCAGCCCCAAGACATAATGTATTCTTAAAGGACAAAATGAAAAGGTCACATTTGAAAAGACTTATTTTACTTTAGAGGCAAATAGAAATTGTAGCCTTCATGGCTACAGCATTGCTACAGATTGCTCAACAGGTAAAGCACTTGCCCCACAAGCTCAATCCCTGGAACCTACATAAAGGCAGAAGGAGAAAACCACCTCCACAGAGTAGTCCTCTGACCTCTATACATACACACATCACACACACACACACACACACACACACACACACACATTATCATACAGTAGTAATAAAAATAAACTTTAAAGAAAGTATGACTTTCAGAGATATAGTAGAAGTAGAAATTCTGGAGCAAAAAATAATGAGAGTATAGAGGTTAAATAGAATTTGTAATTTAAAGCTGGGTATGGTGGCACATGCCTTTAACCTCAGCACTGGGGAGGCAAAGGCAGTGAGTTTGAGGCCAGCTTGGTCTACATAGAGAGTTCTAGGCCAGTAAGGATTACACAATGAGACCCTGTCTCAAAACAAAAACACTACAATTTAAAGAATTTAAGCTGGGTGTGGTGGTACATGCCTTTAATCCTAGCACTGGGGAGGCAGAGGCAGGCAGATCTCTGTAAGTTCAAGGCCAGCCTGGTCTACATAGTGAGTTCCAGGACAGCTGGGGCTACAGAGAGACCCTGTCTCAAAAAGACCAAAAAAAAAAAAAGTAAAGAGAAATAAGAGAGAACTTCGCAAATGGAAATCCATTGTAGATAAATGTTCATTCCTAGCATAGGGAAAGGGAGATTTATCATGCTGATAAACCTGTGGACCATTTATTTGTTCTTTGTGGTGATCATTTATTTTCTTTTAAAGCTGTAAATTTTATTTGCGATCATCCGGACATCAAAGCGATCAGCTTTGTGGGATCCAACCAGGCTGGAGAGTACATCTTCGAGAGAGGGTCAAGAAATGGCAAGAGGGTTCAAGCCAATATGGTGACTTCTCATTTCTAACCCCATCACCTCTAAACTTGGCTATCTGCATTTAAATTACCTAGGAATAGTCCTTCAGCAGACAGGCCATTCATCCCATGAGGGCCAATGTCATTTCATCCTGAATGTCCTCCCTTAGTCCCTCAACCTTGTGAAGTTTCATTCTGTTATGGCGATCACTTTTTATCATATATAGCTAATCTTGGTGACAAAACGCATATTCCTTTCCCAAGAATGTTACTCAAGTTCTTTAGACTTCAGCAGTAACGGTCAAATTTTCTCCTTTATACCTTGGCTGCTAGCTCTTGATTTTTTTCCAAAAAACTTATTTTTTATTTTATGTATGTGTGTATTGTCTGCTCCCATGTAGTACATTGCCCGAGGAGGTCGGAAGAGGGGTTAGATTCCCCTGGAACTAGAGTTAGGGACTGTCGTGAGCCACCATGTGAGTGCTGGAAAACCAAACCTGGTCCTCTGGAAGAGCTGCCAGTGGTCTTTAACCACTGAGCCATCTCTCCAGCCCCCTTTGCTTTTTTAAAAGATATTTTTATTACTTTTATGTGTATGACTGTTTCACCCATATTGTTCAATGCCCATGGAGATCAGAAGAGGGCACTAGCTTCCCCTGGAACTGGAGTTACAAATGATTGTTAGCCATCATGGGTACTAGAAATCAAACCCCAGTCCTCTGCAGAAACAGCCAGTCCCCAACCACTGAGCCATCTCTGCAGCTCCCCTTGCTTCTTTTAAAAGTGTACCCTAATTACTAGTGTTATGGTTTAAAGATGTGATATAGTAGTATCCCTAAGGTTATCTCATTTCCCTTTGCAACAACCGGTTTACCAAGGAATGGGAAAGGGGCCAGTCTATTTAAAGCACTGGAGTCATGTGTCCTCATATATGGTTTACTTTTGCTGTCCTACTAGTTCTATTACCTATTTGAAAATGTCCCTCCACCACCTTTTTAATGGTTTTTATCTAAATAAATACATATCAGCTTCTTAAATAAAAAGTAAAGTAACATTGAGCCCTGCTTAGTATTGCTTAGACTTCAGCAGTATTAAAAATAATCTCTTTGGCCTGTGCTACAGAGTGAGTTCAAGGCTATCTTTGACAACTTAGTAAGACTTTGTCTCAAAAAGTGAAAAAAGCAGGTAGGAACATAACTCAGTGGTAGATCACTTGCCTATTATGCATGAAGTCCTAGGTTTAATTCCCAATACTGCAAAATTTAAAAAAAATTTTAATCTTTGTCCTCAAAACAACAAAGGGTGAATTTTCTGATTCTTTCCTTAAGTTCTCATTTTGAATCTCAGATTCTTTTAGCTATTTTTTTTAAGCTAAGGAAGACACATGTACTTTCTGTATTTCTTTAGGGAGCCAAAAACCATGGGGTAGTCATGCCAGATGCAAATAAGGAAAATACTCTTAACCAACTGGTTGGTGCAGCATTTGGAGCTGCTGGTCAAAGGTGCATGGCTCTTTCAACTGCAATCCTCGTGGGAGAAACTAAGAAGTGGCTGCCAGAGCTGGTGGAACGTGCCAAAAACCTGCGGGTCAATGCAGGTAATCAGTCACCCATCAATTTCAGATTTTGCATTTTACACTGAATTCTTGAATTTAGCATTGGCCTTGCTCAGGGGGAGCAATCATGTGTATTCTTACTATTACTTTTCTTTAATTCTACTTGTCTTTCAAATTCATCCATTAGCAGTAGTCATAAGTCATGTTAAGAAAAGTCTTAGATACTTCTACTTTTTTTTTATAGGAGACCAGCCTGGAGCTGATCTAGGCCCTCTGATTACTCCCCAGGCCAAAGAGCGAGTCTGTAATCTGATTGATAGTGGGGTAAAGGAGGGAGCTTCCATCCTTCTAGATGGGCGAAAAATTAAAGTCAAAGGCTATGAAAATGGTAATTTCGTTGGACCAACCATCATCTCAAATGTCAAGGTAAACAACTCTTGATTATTTCACAAATATGTGAAATAATGAAAACACCTTTGAGGCTATGGAATCTCATCTCTCCAATTTATAAATGAAAATATTTAATGTTTAAGACTATAACTGCCATTATTATTATTATTATTATCTGCAATCCCAACCACAGCCTTTTTCACTGTGTGGCACACTTTCCATGATAGGCTAAATATTTTCAGCTTTGCAGAGATACAGTCTTATCAGAAGGATTCTGGTGTATAGTGTGAATCAATCATAATCATGTGACTGTGTACCAATTTAAATGTATGCATTTAAATGTATCATTTTACATGTCATGAAATATTCTTCTGATTTTTTTTCCTAAATCACCAGCACTTGGGAAGCAGAGGAAGGCAGAGATCTTTGTGAGTTCATGAGTTCAAGGCCAGCCTGGTCTACATAGTGAGTTCCAGGAAAACTGGAACTGGGAGACTCTGTCACAAAAAGACCAAAAAAAAAAAAAAAAGAAAAAGAAAAAGAAAAAAAGGTAGAAAGCATTTGTGGGCTGTATAAGAACAAGCAGTCAAATTGGCCCCTAGGCAGCAGTTAAAACCCTTGTCTTAAACGGATTGTTTTTCTCTTCTATCTCCCCTTGCCCCTGCCTGTCTTGCTCACTGCTACTAAATTATCTCCAGAATACTAACTGCATAATATTTATTGAATATCTATCTACCCTGTACCCAAAATTACTTGGATATTTACTAGAAAGACAAAAAAAAAAAAAGAAATGTCACTTTTTATTTATCAAAGTCTAGAAAGCCTCTCAGCTAACATTTATGACTAAATTGAGGCAGGCTTAAAAAATTTGATATTTTCATTAACTCTCAATGATCAAGGATTGATCTAAATGTAGTCTGCATTACTTGCCACAGAACTGCAAAGGAAAAACTTATTAACTAACACAGCTGGCTAGTTGCAGTGGTTCCTTCACTGTTTTGAATGTGTGTGACCCAATATCAAAATACAAACATAAAGAGGAATTAATGAGAATGGATTGTTTTATGTTATAGAGCATTTAGCACAAGATTTCTAGAAGTTCTCCTGGTATACTTTATATTTGATTTATAAAAATGAATTTTCATGTAACTTTGGTTAACAATTATATAAAACAACTTATACAAATATTAAAAAGAAAGCTGGTCATAGGTTTTGGGAACATGAAATATAGTACTGAAAGGCAAAGTAGAAATTCTAAGTTGTTTATATAGTGGTCCCTCAAAAGATAGAGCAAGTAAAACAGGTGATAGAATATGAAGAGAGATTTCCTAGCATGAAAACTGTTTGTGTAAACAGTGGGTAGTAAATTAAAGTGCCATGTAAGCCTAAAATACTCAATTTAAAAAGCTGGCTTCTTTTCTGGATTGATTACTCCTGACAGCCAAATATGACCTGTTACAAAGAGGAGATTTTTGGTCCAGTTCTTGTGGTTCTGGAGACAGAAACACTGGATGAAGCCATCAAGATTGTAAATGACAATCCATATGGAAATGGAACTGCCATCTTTACCACCAATGGAGCCACTGCTCGGAAATATTCTCACATGGTGGATGTCGGGCAGGTTTGTGAACAGAATTTTTGGAGAGTCTTATAGTTGTTTCCTGAGAGGAGACAGTAAACAATGATCAGTCAACTGCAACTTTTTTGAAGTTTTCCCCTTTAATCTCCCACAACTTCCCATTTCTTCCTCAGGAAAAAAAGTTCTTGGGGTGGAGCATGGGGTGCAAGATAGTTACATAAAATCGGTATCTCCCAAAAAAACCAAACCAAACAAAATTTTAAAACAAAGAAAAATAAAATTGGTCTTTGTTGACTTTGTGCTTCTACATGGACAATCTGTAGACTGAATCATTTGCTTAGTATATGATATGGATTTGTTCTGCTTTAGGTGGGAGTGAATGTCCCCATTCCAGTGCCTTTGCCAATGTTTTCATTCACCGGCTCTCGATCTTCCTTCAGGGGAGACACCAATTTCTATGGCAAACAGGTAACTTTTGAGTTGAAATTCTTTTTTCCTTTAAGAACATACTCATTCCTTGAACACATTCATAAGCAAGGATTACATAAAGAAGGGCTTGCTGGCAGCTTCTTTGGAGTCATATGCTGTTCCACTGGGTATCTCAGTCCCCTAGAAAAAATTAAAAGTGAACAAAATTTTGCCAGCCTCTTCATAAATAATGCAAGGCAATAAGTTTGGAGAAAAGATCATAAGAAAGTGTAAGCCTTTGCATATGCCATTTCCTGTGTCAGTGACCCCCTTGTTCAGCTCTTCCATTTCACTTGAGTGACTTCTAATGATTAATCTTGTCTTGGTTTAAAGCCCTCAAGCTTATTCTCATACAATAAATATTTTAAATATATATTTGTGGGAGAGTGCTAGGGATTGAACGAAGAGCCTTGCACATTATATTTTTTATAAAACCTTAAGTGTGCTAAAGTTTTTGGTAGTTTAGGAATGGGTTTGTATAATGTAGACATTTTATATTAGATTTGTATTATGTTGTTTTAGGATGTGAACAAAGTCTGTTGATTTGGGGCATGACAGCTCTAGAATAGAGTGACTATAAATTTAATAGTATTATATTGTTCTGTTTTTTCCCTTTATACGCCTTAAGTTAAAAATTCTAATTTTAGTATATAACAATGTCTATGGTTTGATTGTTTACTATGTGACAGGTATTATAGTAAATGTTCTTATCTTGTGTATGTGATGTATGTGTGTGCATGTTGGTATGTGAGTATGGGCACAATTTTGAAGTCAGAGGACATCCTCAGATGTTGACAATTGCCTTCCATCTTATTTGAGACAGACAAGGTCTCTGTTGTTTGCTACAGTATGGCAGGCTAGCTAGCCTGTGAGTTGCCAGGAATATTCCTGTCTCCACGTCCCATTTCACCATAGGAATTACAGTAGCTTACTATCACCCCTGATTTTTACATGGGTTTTAGGGATCTGCATTCAGGTCATCATGTTTGTGCAGCAAGTGCTTTACCTACAGAGTCATCTCTCCAGCCCTTATTTATTTATTCATTTATTTTTGGAGGCATGGTCTCATGTATTGCAACCTGACCTCCAACTATATAGCTGAGGATGGACCTTGAACTTCTGATCTTGCCTCCACCTCCTGAGTGCTGGGAATACAGGCATGTGCCACCACACCTGGTTTATGCCATTCTGGGAACTAAATCCAGGGCTTCATACATGCTAGGCAAGCATTCTACCAACTGAGCTACAAACCAGCCCCATACATATTTTAGGGGAGATTATCTCGTGAACTAGATTTTGTTTCATCTATTGCTCAAATAGGAACATGAGTATCACTCACATCACCACTTTCAAAAGCTAATTTAAAAAGTTCTGAACCCCCAGAAGTACATGCTAACTCTTTTTTCTTTGTTCTCTTTAGGGCATCCAGTTCTATACTCAGCTAAAGACTATCACTTCTCAGTGGAAAGAAGAAGATGCTACTCTTTCCTCACCTGCTGTAGTCATGCCTACCATGGGGCGTTAGAAACAAGTTCTTAAGGACGCAATCCAGCCTGACTAATTTCCCTTCATTCTTGGCCAACTTCATTTGCCAACTGCTCAAATAAGATCCATGAGATTGGAATATATTACAACTAAAATTTTTCTCAGAACTCTTATCCCTTTCAAAGTTGTTATAAGGAGACTCCTAGGGTAACACTAATACCAGGTTTTCCCTCATTCTTCATACTGCTTTTAAGGTAACTGTGAAGTGTTTCTCTGGAATGAGAGATTAGACCTGTTTTCTAAAAATTCTCCTCTTTCCAGCCAGACATGGTGGCCCATGCCTTTAATCCCAGCACTTGGGAGGCAGAGGCAGGTAGATCTTTGTATTACAGGCCAGCCTGGTCTACATAGCAAGTTCCAGGCCAGCTGGGGCTACAGGGCGACCTGGTCTCAAAAAAAAAAAAAAAATTCTCCTCTTTCCTGATGACTTGAAGGAGAGGAATGTCAATATATTGACAAACTATCTTCCAATAATTGGAAGACTAGCCCTTGGATGAGGAAATAGGATAGAAACACCCTGTGGTTGAGCCTCAAACACAGTCTTCTATCTATGCCAGTTTTCCCTATCCCAAGTTTTCACACTACACAAGATGTAAGCTATTTTTACTTATACCAACACTGCAATAGCTGCTGCTTTTCTGCTCAATACCACTTTCTTTTCTTGTGATTCATGACCACTGTTTAATTCTGTCATTGTCCATGTTCTTGCTTCTTAAAATACTTTCAAGGATACCTCAGGATGCAATTGATTTATCAACTTTTTGACATGGGTGCCAAATGTTAAATTTCATGGTTTGCTTCAGCAATCATTAATCAATATTTCAGCCATTAATTCAGATGCAAATAATTCCTTAGAAAATTATTTCACAAGTTTTGTCCCTGAAATCATGGAATGTTTTACTCATGAAGTGGGTAGGACTTTTGCCTTAAGCAAGCCTAACCTACTATGACCTCCCAAACTTTATTATTCTTTCTTCTTGCCTATACTTCATTTTTTCCCTTTTTTGTGCACCACGTGTTTGAAGTGCCTATGTAGACCAGAAGGAGTCAGCTCCCCTGGAACTGGGAGTTAGAGAAGGTTGTCAGCTGCCCTGTGGATGCTGGGATCTGATCTGAGGTCTCTGGACGAGCAGGAAGTACTCTTAACAGCTAAGCCATCTCTCTAGCCCCTTGCCTGCATTTATTAGTGATACTTTTTTTTTTTTTCGGTCTTTTTGAGACAGGGTCTCCCTGTTGCCCTAGCTGTCCTGGAACTCACTATGTAAACCAGGCTGGCCTTGAACTCACAGAGATCGCCTGTCTCTGCATCCTGAGTGCTGGGATTAAAGGTGTCTACCACCACACCCGGCTAGTGATACTTTTTAATGGAAGAACTCTTCATGTAAATTAATTGATTGAAGCCTAGGGAATTTTAAAGTTTTACATGATAGAAATGGTAAAGAAGAAATGCTTTTGACTGTTCTGCTATCACTTATTCAACTGCCTTTCAACCTATTTCTTTGATAATATAAACCTTAGGTCAGAAGAGACTTGATGTGCTGAGCAGAATGGTTTCTGTGTTTTACCTTCCCATCTGAAACCTGCCTTTCTGAACCAGGAGACTGCTCCTGGTTTGCTAGGTTAATCTTGAGTGCTTAGTCAGGTGGCACTGGTCATTTATTTTTCACCATTCTCTGTAGTTAATGCTGCTCTATTCCATGGGGTTATTAAGTGAATTAAAAGTGGCCAAAAAAAAAAAAACCCTCAAAAATGTGTACTCCATGGACTTTAACCTTACTACGAGAAACCACATGCTGGGCAGAATTTAGAATCTTCAGTCACATAACTCTACTGAGTTTTTTTTCTTCCTAAAAGTGAAACAGTAGAAATTTATAATTTGAGACTACAATGCCCTTGTTTCATTTCTTACAACACAAAGCTGATATTCAATCCAATCCAAAAATTTTAGGCTGGGTTGAAAGGTAGTTATTGTCTAAATTCCAAGTAGAATTAAATTTAATCACAAAAATCCTAATGTTTTCCTTAAAATAAGGGAAGTCACTTTTAAAAAATAATGAATTGTGTTACTCTAATTAGAAACAACTGATTTGGCCAGCAACTAGCTACTTAAAGAGTTTCTTCTTAGATGAAATCTACAGTTATATTCATGTTAGCAGCAACTAATAACTAAATCGGGTTTTTGCTGTTCTTTTTAATGAACTCACTTGAATTTTCACAGATTCTGTACTGTGCTAATTGATTATGAATAACAAAGTACAAATAAAAAGCCATTAGAAAGAAAAAAAATAACTTTTTCAAAAAATGGTCTTTTCCTTTGTTCTCTAGATTATAGTGATTCACATTTCTTACCTACAGTCAACAACTGTATTAGTTACTTTTCTGTTACTATGATAAAAGCACTGACCAAAGCAACTTATAGAAGAGTTATTTGGCTAACAGTTCAGAGGGATTCGAGTCCATAATGGTGGGGGAGGTATGGTGGCAGAGGTGGCTAGAGCAAAAAGCTGAGCAATCACATCTTCAAGCAGGCACAGGAAGTAGAGAGAGACTAGAATATGGCAAGGCTTAAGAGCTCTCAAAGCCTATCCCCAGTGACCTGCTTCCTCCAGCAAGGCTGCACCTCCTAAAACCTCCCAAAACAGCTCCAGCCGCCAACTGGGTACAAAATGTCCAATACTTGGAGGCTATGGGGGACATTCTCATTCAAACCACCACATTCTACTCCCTGGCCCCCACAGGCTCATGATCATATAAAATGCTAAATGTGTTTAGTCCACCTTCAAAAGCCCCCATAGTCTTTACCAGTTTCAATTCTATTCAAAAGTTCAGAGTCCAAAATCTCTCCTGAGACTCAAGACAATCTCTTTACTGTAAGCCTCTGCAAAATCAAAAGATAAATTCATACTTCCAACATACAAAGGAACTAAATATACATTTTCATTCCAAAAGGGAGGAATAGGGGCATACTGAGGAAGTACTACACCAAAACAAGACAGAAAACCATCAGGACAAACACCAAATCCAGTAGCTCCATGTCTGACTTCTGGGACTCCAAAGAACTTACATGAGTCAAACACTCCCATCATAGTGCACCATACAATCTCTCTTGGGCTGGTACCACTCCCTGTATGTAGCTTTCCTTAGGCGATACCTCACAGCTCTAGCATCTTGGGGGTCTCCACTGCCAACAAGGCTTCACCACAGCTTCACACAATGGTCTTTCAGGACCTTCTTTATGCAGGGACACCCCTACACACTGCCTGGCCTTGGCAGCTCTCTGAAACCTCAGAGGAAGAACAATGATCCCATCAGTCTTGCATCTTTCATCCCCTAAAACCAGTATGTGATTGACACTGCCAAGTTCAGCTACCAGCCTAGGATAGATCCTGGCCTGTTTTATCCACCTTAGCAGCTTTTCTATACTGTGGTTTCTAGGAGCAGAAAATGCCTTGGCATTTTCCTTTCACAAGTTGGGAGGTTTAGCTAGGTGTAGTCTTACCTGAAGGTACTCTTTCCATTGTTTAAGTGAAAATTAGGTCTCTCCTTAATGGTTCTAATCTCCTTATCAAAGACAGCTTCTCCTTCAACACATACTCTTTTCCATTCAAACTGTACATTTTTTCATTTCTTTCTGCTCCACTCTTTTGCATTGTAGATCTTCACAGTATTCACTATTAATAACTACACCACCAGATTCAACATCAGGCTGTCTTGAAATTTCCTCTACCAAAGAAATTACACATTTAGCCTCGTGAAATCTCTTAGGCTATGAGTGGCCAGATAGTTTGACAAAACATTCCAGGTTTTAAGTCCTTATTTCCCTCTAGAACTACCTTGCTTTCAGCACTACTTTCTTCCAGGCTCCTACTAGAATAACCTATTAAGCTCGGCTTACAGCATTCAACCATTTTCCTAATCCAGATACCCAAAGTCTTCCACATTCCTCCAAAAACCCACATGGTCAGGTTCTTCACAGCAACAGCCCACTCTCCTGGTACCAACTTATGTGTTGCTGTGATAAAAACACTGACAAAGCAACTTACAGAAGGAAGAGTTTATTTGGCTTACAGTTCAGAGGGATTGAGTCCATAATAGTGGGGGCGGTATGGCGACAGAGGTCCAGAGCAAAAAGACGAGCGATCACATCTTCAAGCAGACACAGGAAGCAGAAAGAGACTGGAAATCTGGCAAGGCTTAAGAACTCTCAAAGCCAACCCCCAGTGATATGCGTGCTTCTTCCAGAAGGCCACACCTACTAAAACCTCCCAAAACAGCACCACCAACTGGGTACAAAATGTTCAAATACTTGGAGTGTATGGGGAACAATCTCATTCAAACCACCACAAAAGCCAAGATTTATAAGGACATTCATTATGTTTATATAGAAGATAGGAAGACTAAGGGGTATAGCGCAGTAGTAGAGCATTTTCCTAGTTCGCATGAAGTCCCAGGTTCAATCCCCAGCACCGAAAATAACAAAGCAGTACACATTTTCACTAAGCTGCTTATTTCAGAAAGTAAACTTTAGATTTTCCAGTTATGTGTAATGTTCGTTAGTGTGGACATTATTAAAAAATTTTGTATTCTCTCATACCAGTGCTATTTGTTATTATCCCTGAGAGCTATTTGGATAGTAGAGAACTGAATCAGAAAGATGCTGCATGGTGAAAGGTAACAGCAGTATACTGTTTGATTGCAGGCTCCTTACTGTGTGAGAGTCCAGTAGTTCTGGAATAACACCAGGTAGCACCCTTTCATTGGTGTCAGATACTTGAACTTGCTGGGTGATGAAGGTTTGATCTGGAAGGTTAATTTCATTCCTACAGCAATGACAAAACAATAGTGCTATCAGCAGCCATACATGGAATTTTGTTCAGAAAAATAGGCTTGCCATATTAGTCTCACCTCAAGAAAATGTGAGGTGCTCCCCTCCACCCAAGGCCAAGGAACACTGTGATCAGGCTCTTGTTCATTAATCTGGCAGGAGAAATCTTACCCAGTTTCTTTTGTTCCTCCATTGTCAAAAATAATATGGTCTGGAACAGAAGACTTAGAACTTTGGTTGCATTTCCTGTGTGTAAAAGTCAACAAACATAATGAGGCAATATCTCCTCCTGACCTCATATGTCAACAATACCCTTAAAATGCTGAGTGATCTTACAGAAGACTCAAGTTTGAATCCCAGTACCCATAAGGCAGCTAACAACTGCTCATAACTCCAGGTCCAGGGGATCCGGCACCCTCTTCTGAACTCCGTGGGCACTTCATGACATGGATGCACTTACATGTAGGCATAACACTCATATGTATAAAATAAAAAATAAAAATAAAATTTTAAAGTGCTGAGTGAGATAATTGTGTAAGCTTACTATTTTCAAAGTGAGTTTTATACACACATAGATGTGATACGCTAAGCAGTTTCACACAACTGCTTAAAGTTGAGACATGCTGAACTCAAGAAATAACGCTAGGCATGGTGGCACACGCCTTTAGTTCCAGCACTTGGGAGGCAGAGGCAGGCAGATCTCTGTGAGTTCAAAGCCAGCCTGGTCTACAGAGCAAGTTCCAGGCCAGCTGGTGCTACAGGGAGACCCTGTCTCAAAAAGACCAAAAATAAATAAATTATTTATACACTACATTTGTGAGGTAGAAAAAGTAAATCTGTGCTTCTTACATATAAACACCCATTTTGGGAAGTCGTGATTTTTCTTCCAAAGAAGGAAATATGTATAAAACATGTTTAGCTTAACTGCATGTTGTAGCACATGCCTGTAATCCCCAGCACTCAGGAGGAGGAAGAGATAAGAAGATAATGAATGACAGAGGATAGCCTACACAGGAAGAGCCTGTCTCAAAATATAAAACACAAAATAAAAGGAATAGCTGTCGCACAGTATTTTTACAATGGTAATAACTATTAATAGTAGATATGAAATTAAGTACATACTTTCAGATTGATCACATCAAACTTCTTCAAGCTAGTTTCAATGACTCTTACAGATCCTAAATTTCGATTTATTTCTTTTTTTCCACTAGGGTCTCACTAAGTAACCCAGGCTGGCCTCAAACTCCTGCCTGAGCCTCCTGACTGTTGGAATTTTAGGTCTGTACCACCATGCCCAGTTTCAGGAGGGATAGAAAGGAGTAAAGCTGTTATAGGACATCTCTCATGCCATACTATGTATCCTTCTGGTCCTTAGAAAAATCAGAGATGATATTATCCACAATTTACAGATAAGATGAAGAAACTAAGGCTCATAAAATTTAAGGAACTAGGGCTGGGCGTGGTGGCACATACCTTTAATCCCAGCACTTGGGAGGCAGAGGCAGGCGGATCTTTGTGAGACCAGCCTGGTGTATATAGTGAGTTCCAGGACAGCTGGGGCTACAGGGAGACCCTGTCGCAAAAAAAAGACCAAAAAAAAAAAAATCTCAGAACATATAATGGTACCCAATGGAAACAGTCTCAGTAGAGTTTAGAACGTCTAGGGAAATTAAGAGGAAATAGCATATAGTTGATTCGGTATTCTGTTTTGAAGTGAGTTTAATTAGGATAAAAATACCATAGGTTCATTTCCCAACAAAGTCACATACCTCACTTCTAAAATTTGACTTCAATTAAATACCAATGAAAGCAGCATAAACCTATTCAAAATATGGCTACACCAAATATTCAAATAGTTAAGCATAAAAAATGTTCTTTACACACTAATAGTGCCTAAGTGGTTTCTAAATCATTTACTTTAGCTGTTATTGGCTATACTTCTCTGACTTAGGTCCATCAGAAAAATACAGTAATGTTGAATTTACAATATATAGTTAACTGTAAACTCTTACTAAGTTCCTATTACTTGCTTAGAAGACTTACCAAAACCCTTACCCCATGTCATCTGAACCTTCTCATTTAATCTCAACTTTTCTTTTTTTGGGGGGGAGAGTCTTTTTGAGACAGGGTCTCCCTGTAGCCCCAGCTGTCCTGGAACTCACTATGTAGACCAGGCTGGCCTTGAACTCACAGAGATCTGTCTGCCTCTGCCTCCCGAGTGCTGGGATTAAAGGCATGCACCACCACGCCCGGCCTAATCTCAACTTTTCACATATCAAGTTCTATTTCTATCTTATTTTTCTGTTATCCAGTTCTGTCATGAGATTTTAACAAGCTTAAACATAGATTGATTGTGAATCACGTCGAATTTCACTGCTTAGGCATGAACAAGCTCACTTAAATTTCATTGCTTCTCCATGGAACAGTATAGAACTAGAGGCCTGGAACTCTGGCTATACTTCTTTGGGTATGGAAAAGTTAACTTGAAATGAAGCATTTAGTACCTGCAGTCTGAAGTCTTCCTCCACGTCTAGGATTCTAGAAGGCTATCAATAAGAAAAGCCATTTCAGGATTGGGGATGTGGTTTAGTTGGTGGAGTATTTGTCTAGCACACATGAAGACCTAGGTTTACTTTCCAGCACCACATAAAACTGGGTATAGCAGCACATGACTGTAATCCTACCACTCCAGAGGCGGAGGCAGGAAGATCAGGAATTCAAGGTCATCTCCTCAGCTACATAGCAAATTGGAGGCCAGCCTGGGATACTTGAGACCCTATCTCAAAACAACAACCCAAGTCATTTCACTTGAACTAAATTATAATAATAATTATTATTATTATTTTGGAGTGCTAGGGATTGGAGTGAGGTCTACCTGAGGCCTCACTCATGCTAGGCAAGTCCTCTACCACTGAGCTAAATCATCAGCCTTTTGTTGTTAAAAATCAAAAACAGGGCCGGAGAGATGGCTCAGCGGTTAAGAGCACTGACTGCTCTTGCAGAGGACCCGGGTTCAATTCCCAGCACCCACATGGTGGCTACAAACCGTCCTTAACTCCAGTTCCAGGGGAATTCGAAGCCCTCTTCTGACCTCTGCAGCATTGCACGACATGGGTGCACTCACATACATGTAGACAATACATTCATACATATAAAAAATAAATAAAAATAATAATTTTAAAAAATCAAAAACAAAAAACAAAAACATAGTCTTTCTATAGCCCAGGTGTCTCAAACTCATGACAGTCAACAATCCTGCCTCTGCCTCTGCCTCTCAAGTGTTGGGATTACAGGCATGAGCCACCAAATCTAGATAGGCTACAATTCTTTAAACTCTTCCTTTCTGGCTGTATGTTTGTTATTTACAAACGTGTTAAAGCTATTTTCACCTCAATACACTACCATCATCTCCAGTTCAAAACAAAATACTATATTCCTTCTGTTTGGAATGCCCCCCACCTTGTTCATGTTAACCTTTCAGAAATTCCCTGAAGTTTTCACTTCCTCAGAAACTTTCTTAGTTTTCACAATGAAGGCAGATTCCCCTAACCTATGCCCTTATACCTTTATATAATTTTTTCAGCCTATGTTATAGTTGTATTTTTATACTTAATGTATGATAATTTCAATGTTTTCTCCCATAAAGGACATGCCACTATTTGCTCAACACAGTATAGTAAGTAGGTAGGCAATGTGCTTATATTAAGTGAATTATAGATGGATTAAGTAATATTTAAACATTTCCCTCAAATTGGCTTTCCAGACTCATTTATTTTTGCAGTACTGATGATTAAATCCATGGCCTGAAGCATGACAAGCAAGCACTGTACCACTGTACCCATCCCTTTAACTCTATTTTATTCCTTTCTTTTTAAAAAAAAAATATTTTATTTATCATTTTTATTTTATGTGTATGAGTGTATTGCCTGCATGTATGTGAGTGCACCCATGTCATGCATTGCTGTGGAGATCAGAGAGGGCTTCAGATTCCCCTGGAACTGGAGTTAAGGATGGGTCGTAGCCACCATGTGGGTGCTGGGAATCGAACCCGGGTCCTCTGCAAGAGCAGTCAATGCTCTTAACCGCTGAGCCATGTCTCCAGCCCCCTTCCTTTCTTTTTTTAAAAAAATATTTTATTTTTATTTTATGTGTCTAAATGTATTGCCTATATGCATGTAAGTTCACCTGTGTTGTGCAGTGCCTTAGGAGGACAGAAAACGGTGTTGGATCCCCTGGAACTGGAGTTACAGATGGTTGTTAACCACCATGTGGATGCTGGGAATCAAATCCAGGTCCTCTGCAAGAGTAGTCAGTGCTGTTAACTACTGAGTCATCTCTCCAGTCCCTCATTTCATTTCTTACTTCAACATTTCATTTTAACAGGGCCAAGCTAAGCTGCCCAGGCTAACCTCAAACTCTCATGATCCTCCAGCCTCAGCCTTCCCAGTAGCTAGGATTACTGACACTGGACCATGCTGCACAACCCCAGCTGTTTTTCATTTATGTCATATCACCATTCTTTTATTTCCTAAGCTAAAAAAACTTTATACTCCCTTTGTCCTTTACCAAGTCCTCTTTATTTTTCCTATGTGTCTCTCAGTTTCTTCCTCTTTCAGATTACTCTTTTGCCTAAACCCCTCCCCACTATATGCCCAAAGTAGTGCTGCAGTCTGTTGTTTCCAAGCTCTGTTTTTGGCCTTTCTTTTTTGAGACAGGGTCTCTCTGTAGCTCCAGCTGGCCTGGAACTCATTATGTAGACCAGGCTGGCCTCAAACTCACAGAGATCCGCCTGCCTCTGCCTCCCAAGTACTAAGATTAAAGGCCTGACAAGGGTCCTGATCTATGTAGCCTTCAAGTAAAAGAATTTGAGCATATGGTTTGGTCCTCTTTATATTCCTTCAGTGTAGAAAAGTAAATACATAGTACTCTAGAGTCTACAATAGTATAAGTTCTGCCCTTTCTGGATGGTCTTTAAGGTTCATCTAAATATAATCTGTAAGTTTAATCATTAAACCTTGCTTCTGATTTCTCTCTAGCATCATTAAATTTCCTGAAGCAAGGAAATTTTTCCTTAGTGTTCTCTAAACATCCTATACCTAATCCTAACTCTGGGTTTTTGCTTATATTGCCTAGGAAGTTATCCTTGGCTAATGCCTCTCCTCTTTCTACTATCTCACTGTTCTACAAGGTACCCCATGGAATCATACTCTTTCAGGAATGTCTTCTCTATCTTAGACATGTTTGAACTCTAACTCATTGTGCCACCTAATTTTTCCTTGTTATAGTTGGTTTTGTTTGAGCAACTAGATTACAAGCACTCTGAGTTCAAAGGCAAATTTTCTATTCTTTTTTTCTTTTCTTTTTTTGAGACAGGTCTCCCTGTAGCCCCAACTGGCCTGAAACTTGCTGTGTAGACCAGGCTGACTTCAATCTCACAGAAATCTACCTGCCTTTGCTTCCTGGGAGTTGGGATTAAAGGTGTGTGCTACCACACTCAGCCTCTTCATGCCTGGCCTCTTAATTCTTTTGAATCTCTGACAATACTTAAAAGTACTGACCATGTAGCAAGCAGTCAACAAGTGCTTAATCACACACTGTTCAAGAATATACAGTCAATGACAAAACACAATGGAAGCTGGGCCTAGTGGTACACACCTATAACCCCAGTACGTAGGAGGTAGGGGTAGGAAGATATCTGCAAATCTGAAGCTACCTGGTCTATATAGCAAGTTCCAGGTGAGCCAGTACTATATAGTGAGACTCTATTTAAAAAATACCAAAACAGGTCAGCCTAATCTATATAGTAAGTTCCAGGCCAGCTGGGGGCTACAGGGAGACCCTGCCTCAAAACAAAAAACAAAACAAAACAAAACAAATAAGCAAAAAACCCACCCACAAAAAAATTCCCCAAACAAAAAACCAGAACAGCTCTTTGCTTCATGTTTGTGGTTAAAGATGTAAGCCCTTAGCTTCCAGCTCATGCTACTCATTGTCAGGCCTCCCAAGTCATGATGGACTCTTTTTTGTGTGTGTGTCGTGGCGGGGGGGCGGTCTTTTTGAGACAGGGTCTCCCTGTAGTCCCAGCTGGCCTGGAACTCACTATGTAGACCATGCTGGCCTTGAACTCTCAGAGATCCACCTGGCTCTGCCTCCTCAGTGCTGGGATTAAAGGTGTGCATCATCTCACCCGGCTAACCATAATGAACTCTTATCCTTCTGAAACCAACTAACTGGCTTATACAGACTCCTTAAGCACTACAACCATCAACCTTGAAGTATGAAGGTTGGGAAAAGACAGACTCTTCCTGCTTCAGGTCAAATATGAATGTTCTTCAGATAACAAATTCAACTGATAAGATACTTTTGAATCCACAAGGGCTTTAAGTAAATCCAAAACAAGAGCTGGAGGCCTGACTCAGTGGCAGAGCACCTGTCTAGTACATTCAAGGCCCTGAGTTACACTCTACCCCAACCCCTGTACTGCAAACAAACAAAAAACCAGAAGAACTTGTTAAAAAGCCTCCACATCCTCTCCATCACTATACACTGTTATTTTACAATTCAATCAAGTACTAAATATTGTTGAATACAAACTAGGCACAAGACAGGCCTATGATTGTTCAAAAAAAACCACCAAAACAAACAAAAACAAAGGAAAAAGTGATACTAATCACTAAAAGGAATTTCATGATATATCTGTGATTTCTGTTTGCCTCTTTTATCTCTTCTATTAGATTCCTTTGACTAATAATCAGCCTGACCCAGGTGTGGTGGTACAAGTCTGTAATTCTAGTGCTCCTCAGGTGGAAACAGGAAGATCAATTCAAGGCCAGTCTTGGTGCAAATTGAGCTAGAGGCCAACCTGGGTTACATGAGACTCACAAAATAAAAAAAACAAAAAGAATCAGCCTAAAAATGATTTATCTTTGCAAACCAATAAAAGCTTAACAGTTGTTAAATTTCCCTGAAGGTACCATGCACAGCTCTAACTCCTTAGTAAGCATCACCTTAAACATCTAAGTTTTATTTTCTCTCTCCTTTTTCCAAGTCATCTTTTGCTTTTCTGGTCCTTTAATATATTTCCTTTAATTCTTGGTAAGAATACATTCAACGTATATATGGCATCTATGTTTGATAACAACTCGAATTTCATTGCAAAAATAGGTAATTACCTAGCAGCAAAACCATTCATTTTTGCAAAGAGCAACCTTAAGACTTTCTCCTTCTGCTCCCAGGTCAAATCTCCAATATCCACATTAGTTTGAGTACTTGGCCTGAACAATTTCAAAGAAAAAAAAAGGAAAAAGGAAAAAATGTGATCAAAGTAAACTTTTCTTCTTTTTAAATGATATAAAGTATGTAAATAGAAAATTTTATACCATAACTGAATATTATATAATGATTACAAACTATGCCCATTAAAAAACCATAAAACTTGAAAAGGATTATCAACATGCTAGTCAATCCCAAATGTTGTACTGTCATTAAGATGAAATGACAAAAACATATAACAACATGCATTACGATTTAAACAATAGTTTATAGAGATAAATTTGTTTGCTAAGAAACAAATGCTAACAGGAAACCAAATTAATCATTGTAAATAGCCTGCAACTACCTCAGTCTACTTTTTCATGGTAGCAGTAAATCTCTAAATGTATTCTTGAAAATTTGAGACTTTTGGTTGCTACAATGATATGGGGCAGTAATGAATGTCCTCCAATCCACAGAACATTTCTACATGACAAAAAGTCATCATAAAGAATTATTACAGGGGTTAGAAAAATGTCTCAGTGGTTAAGAGCACTGTTTGTTCTTGCAGAAGACCCAGGTTCAAATCCCAGTACCCACATGATGACTAACAACTGTCTATAACTCCAGTTCTAGGGGATCCAATGGCCTCTTCTATCCTCTGCAGGCACTGCACGACACAGGTACACTAACATTCATGTAGGCAATATACTCATATACATAAAAAAAATTATTAGGGCTGGAGAGATGGCTCAGCAGTTAAGAACACTGGTTGTTCTTGCAGAAGACCCTGGTTCAAATCTCAGCACCCACATGGCAGCTAACAACTGTCCGTAAAAAATAAATTTTAAAAAATTATTATATTGATTTTTAAAATTATATGGTTATTATTATGTACGCATTTTATCTCAGAATAGTAAAATAGCATAAAATATTTGAAAAAGTATGCTCATCAAAAAATGTTTAATCAGCCAGGCATGATGGTGCATGCCTTTAGTCCTAGCACTTGGGAGGCAGAGGCAGGCAGATAGGCAGATCTCTGAGTTCCAGGCAAGCTGGTGCTACAGGGAGAAAGAGCCTGTCCCAAAAAGACCAAAAAAAAAAAAAAGAAAGAAAGAAAGAAAGAAAGAAAGAAAGAAAGAAAGAAAGTTTAATCTGAATCTAATTAAATCTTTACAACAAATTTCCAATTTATAGAAACTAAGATAAAGATTCTTTTAAAGGCAAAAGCTATTACACTATTACAATGATATCTTATGGGACAAATAATAGTCTAACAAATTACTGTCATGAGATAAGAAAGGTACCTACTAAGAATCTATACGAAGCCTTACATACTATGCTTAGTGGTTACAAACATGAGTAAACCAGTTTCTGTCCTCAAGTAACTTACTAAGAAATATCTAACACTTACATATTACCAAACTGAATTTGTTCTGAGTTCTTTTTCAGAGTGGAGGAGGATAGGGGTAAGACAGGTTCTCACTCTGTAGCCCAGGCCTGGAACTCATGTCAGTCCTCTTGCCTCAACCAAGTGCTGGGATTACAAGCATGAGCCACCATTCCCAGCTACTTTTTTTTTTTAATCTTTTTTGAGACAGGGTCTCCCTGTAGCCTGGAACTCGCAATGTAGACCAGGCTGACTTTGAACTCACAGAGATCCACCTGCCTCTGCCTCCCAAGTGCTGGGACCAATGGTGTGGACCACCACACCTGGCAGTTTTTATTTCTTTATAGGATAAAAAAAAGTAATAAGAGCACAGATAATAAATCATGGTGTTATTACTACCATTTTTCAGCCTCCATAAGATCCTGCTTCACACTATTGGTGCTGTATTCTTTGCCATCAAATGTCCTGATTTTAGGATATTCTGTTCTTCCTGCACATGCTGTTCTCATTTTTAAGTTGAAAGCAGCTTGTGCTATCTGCTTATAATGCTTCCTGTTGATCAGAATCTGTTGCTTCACTTGGTATAGAGCATCTAGAAAGAACTTCTCCACTTCTGTTCTCTCATCCAATATGTTTTTAGCAAGCTTCTTCACTCGATTCATTTCCCTGTCCTTCATCTGAAGAAGTTGCTGCAGCCTATCAATTTCTACCTGCCCGGCTTGGTTCTCTATTATTGCCTTTTGCTGCAGTTTCAAAACTTCGGTCTCAAACTCTGTGGTCATGCAACCCAGAGCATTTTCCAAGCTTACCACCTTCTTCTGAAGAGTTTGGATTTGTGACTTCTGCTGGGTAAGTTGCAAAATCTTTTCTCTAATCAAAAGCTCATTGGTCTCCTAAAAACAAAAAGATTTAAGAGGTAAGAGATTTTTTTTCTTTAAACATTCCAGGACTTAGAAGTCCTCAATGATTTCCATTATTTAATGAGATTTGAGTTTGATGAAAGGCTGAAAGGTGATTATGTTTATAGTTCTATGTACAAAGAGTAATGAAGATACTTGGGTCCTTGTCTAGACTTGTGAAGGCGATCTACTGATTTTGCTAATTATGAAACTTTCAAACTTCCTCTAGAATTCTTACAAGGTTACATATTTTGTAGTATCAAAATCAATAAAACTGTATCAAAGAAACACTAGCTGGTGTACAAAACTGCAGTAGTCTCCTCGTTGCCTATCCCAGAATCTGTTTTTCCTTTCCTCCTTAGTAATAAAACCTCAATTGTATTCAGGAAGGAAGAAAGCCCAGCTGAAAATTCCCAGTGCCCCTTGAAGTTCAGCAAGGTCAGGCTCTGGTCAATGAGAAATAAGTAGATGTATGGGAAGATTTATAAAGGGAAAGTCATATTTTTGTTGTTATCCTTCCTTCCTGCTGTTTGGAGTAATGGTTAGAGCTCCATCAGCTACCTTGGCTACCAGGCACTCACGTGTGTGCACAAATGGACACATATATACATGTCACAAAACAAAATGTAAAAAGAAATGTTTAATATGTAAGCCATAAGTTACAGAGCAGAAATAAGGAAGCCAATCCTGATCTGGACTCCTTATCTTCAAACTTCCTTTAGGTAAAAGACTAAACCTTTAAGTGGTGACACTACTGATAGCAGATCTGTTACAAACTAATTCCTAAATGATTTAGGGTCCAACTGTAAACAAAGCAAAATGACCAGTCTAAGGTAGAGGATAAGAGTCATGTTTATATTTCTGATATATTTTTTTAAAATATTTTATTTATGCCAGGCATGGTGGCGTACACCTTTAATCCCAGCACTCGGAAGGCAGAGGCAGGTGGATCTCTGTGATTTCAAGGCCAGCCTGGTCTACATAGTGAGTTCCAGGACAGCTGGGGCTACAGGGAGACCCTGTCTCAAAAAGACCAAAAAAATTTTATTTATTATTTTTTTATTTTTTTGTGTGTATGAGTATATTGCCTGCTTGTAGGTAAGTGCACCCATGTCATGCAATGCCCATAGAGGACAGAAGAGGCTGTCGGATCCCCTGGAACTGGAGCTAACAGACAGTTGTTAGCTGTCATGTGGGTGCTTGGATTCGAACTCAGATCTTCTGCAAGAACAACCAGTGTTCTTAATCACTGAGCCATCTCTCCGGCCCGTATATTTATAAAGTTAAGTCTAATTCACCTTTTTTTTGGGGGGGGTGTCTTTTTGAAACAGGGTTTCCTTATAGCCCCAGCTGGCCTATAACTTGCTATGTAGACCAGGCTGGCCTCTATCTCTGTGAGTGTATGCTACCATATCTGGCTAAGCCTAATGCATCTTACAAATCACTTAGTAATTAATCATTTCAGATAAGGAAAGGTAATCATCCTGACACAAGAAAAAATGGTCCTATTATACTTATGTGTCATTATTATGCTCAATAATTAGTATTTACCAACAATCCCTTTTTAAAATGCAACAAAATCTAAATGAGAGTAGGAACCTTTTGATGTAAAAGGCAAGAATGACTTTCTTGCAACTTCTCGGAGTTTCTCTGTTGCACTTCAGCTTCCTTTAAGTGGTATGTGAGAGCTTTGTGAAGATAAACATTCTCTTTAAAAACATTTCTTCCAGCAGAGTTCAATTGCCTAAAATAAATACATATAAGAACAAAAATATATGCCTAAAATTTAAATACCACAAAAGAACAACAGTGTTTCACCCTCCAGCATTTTTTTCCTGGTTTTTGTTTTTTTGAGACAGGGTCTCCTTGTAGCCTCAGGTAGTATAGAGCTTGCTATGTAGACCAGGCTGGCCTCAATCTCACAGAGATCTGCCTGCTTCTGCCTCCTCAGTGCTTGGATTAAAGGCCTGTCCCACCATGTCTGGCAACCCTTCAGCACTATTAATGATCACCACTAGACTGGGTAGGTAGTTCATTGGTAGAGTACTTAATTAGCATGTACATGTTTGGCCCCTTAGCACCAGAAGAGGGCAGGGGAGGTCAGAACATGCACAAGATCACCACCATTTAACTTGTAATTAAGTACTCAATAGGTAGATGGGACCTTGTGACTAAGTTGTCCCACAACAGTAAACTGAAAAGCTATATGTTAGCTGGACATGAGGGCACAAATCTATAATCCCAGAACCTAGGAGGCAAAGGCAGGATGATCAAAAGTTGGTTGCGAGCCTGGCCTACATAGCAAGACCCTGTCTTTATTTTTATTAATTTATTATTTATTTTCATTTTATGGTTATGAATATTTTGCCTGTATGTAAGTATACCCATGTCAATCATTGCCAACAGAGATCAGAAGAGGGTACTGGATCCCATGGAACTGGAGTCACAGATGGTTGTGAGCTGCCATGTGGGTGCTGGGAACTAAACCTGGTCCTTTAAAAGAGCAATCATTAATCTTAATCGCTGAGCCACCTCTCCAATCCCAACACCCTGTCTTTAAAAAAACAATAATAAAGTCAACAATAGTGGCATATAAATATAATCCCGAATATTTAGGAAGCTGAATCAGGAGGATCACAAGTTTATGACCTGCTTGGGCTATATAGTGTGTACAAGGCTAGCCTTGGCAGTTTAGTGAGTCCTTGTTTCAAAAAATCAAAAAGAACCAGGCGTAGTACAACACACCTTTAATCCCAGCACTTAGGAGGCAAAGGTAGGTAGAACTCTCAGTCTAAATCCAGCCTGGTCTGCACAGTGAGTTCTATCTAGGCCAGTCAGGGCTACAAGTGAGAACCTGTCTCAAAAAAACAAAGGAAAAAGCAAAAAGAGGGCTGGGGATGTAGCTCAGCTGTAGACTGCTTGTCAAGCACATGCAAGTTCCCATGTTCAATCCCTAGTACCACACATACACTGAAAGTGATGTGGTACTTCCAGCACCAGTTTCCCATGTTCTATTCTCTGTATGTTCATATGACTGGACCTAAAGAACTCCAAGGTGACAGAGGTACAAGATGGAAGTAGTTCCAAGTTGCTGAATCACCACTGAAGAAAGCTATCAGGCTCACACTGGATTGTTAAATGAGCATGAAATAAACCACTCAGGGACCGGAGAGATAGCTCAGTAGTTAAGAGAATGATGACCATGAAATAAACCACTCAGGGACCGGAGAGATAGCTCAGTAGTTAAGAGAATGATGACCATGAAATAAACCACTCAGGGACTGGAGAGATGGCTCAGTAGTTAAGAGAATGATGACCATGAAATAAACCACTCAGGGACTGGAGAGATGGCTCAGTAGTTAAGAGCATGTGCTGCTTTTGCAGAGGACCCAGGTTTGGTTCCCAGCAACTACATCGTGGCTCATAACTATCCCTAACTCCAGTCCCAGAATATGATGCCCTGTTCTGACTTCTGCCTGCATCAGGCACACACAAGGTAGTGCACATACATGCATGCAGGCAAACATTCATACACATTAAAAAAATCTTTTTCAGAAACAATTGAGAGCTGCTGGGGGTTCATTTGTTAACATAAATATAGGTGAGTGTTAGTTCCACAAATACACTGTATGACAATCCTGCAAAGTTACTATTATAGCCCTATAATTAGATTTGTTTGTTTGTAACAGGGTCTTATTATGTAGCTCAGGCTGGCCTAGAAGTCAAGATCCTCCTTCCTCAGCCTCCTAAGCACAAGATTAATTGTAAGCCTGTTGCTACCATGTCTGGAATATGGTCTATTTTTAGAGGAAGAAATGTATTTTCAAGTTCTTCCAATGGTTAATTAGGGTATATGTGAATAGCCAGGGTGTAACTTTAAAGCTGCTGTTACAGAAAGGGTGAAAGACAAAGGCTAGGAGACACAAAGAGAAACAGTAAAGGCTGACCAGAATATTTAGATAGCTTGCCAGGAGAGAAGGAGGAAGACAAGCTAAGAAGAACACAGGAAAGAAGAAAGGAGATATATCTGATAAAGGAACAACAGTCTCTTACACCAGAGCTTCATGGTGGGCTCTCTCTGCCAGTGTTACTATCCTCTTCTCAGCCTCTTGCTCTAGACGGTGCTAAAAAAATACAATGTGGGCTGTTTAAATACAGAATTATACTTCTAACAACAGATTTTTTTACATCACAAAGTAATTATTTCAGAACATCAAAAGACTCCTGTTCACATACCTGATATAAGGAACTTCTAAGTACTCATGAAGGAAGAGTCAGCAAAAAGGATAGTATGAACATATGAACCTTACGGTGCCTCCAAATTTTCTCATTAAAGAATCCACAACGCATATACATAAAATGGGGAAAGTTAATCCATATTGGAAAGCAGAGCTGAGAAATATTTCCACTTAACTGAAGCATGATGAGGGTCATTCAGTTATTCATTTAAAAAATGGGGAAGAGCTGGGTGCAGTGACGCACACCTGTAGTCTCAGCACTTGGGAGGTAGAGGCAGGCGGATCTCAGTGAGTTCAAGGCCAGCCTGGTCTACATAGTGAGTTCCAGGACAGCTGGGGCTACAGGAAGACCCTGCTTCAAAAAGACAAAAAAAGGGGGGGATAGCAAGCTGAGGCCTTAAGCTTTCACAAGCTGACAGTCCCTCTTGAGGGTATTTCAAAACTCTCTGAAACCGAAATGCCCATCAACTAATTGATGAATGGATATTGTACATATACACAATGGAATACTGTCATAAAAGCAGTGAAGTCGGGGCTGGAGAGATGGCTCAGCGGTTAAGAGTACTGACTGTTCTTGCAGAGGACCTGGTTTCAATTCCCAGCAACCACATGGTGGCTATGAACCATCCTTAACTTCAGTTCCAGGGTAATCTGATGCCCTCTTCTGACCTCCAAGGCATTGCACAACATGGTGCACTCATATACATGCAAGCAATACACTCATACACATAAAATAAAAATAATACATTATTTTTTAAAAAACAGTGAAGTGCCAGGCAAGGTGGCACAAGCCTTTAATCCCAGCACTCGGGAGGCAGAGGCAGGTGGATCTCTGTAAGTTCAAGGCCTGCCTGGTCTCCATAGTGAGTTCCAGGACAGCTGGGGCTACAGGGAGACCCTGTCTCAAAAAGACAAAAAAAAACCCAAAACAAAACTAAAAAAACAGTGAAGTCATGTCACTTGTGACAACATAGAACTAGAAATCATTTTGCTAAGTGAAATAAGCAAAGCACAGACAGACACTGTATTATATGACCTCGCTCAGATATATACCCTAAAAAGGTTGATCTCTGGCTAGCAGCATAGCTCTGTGGTAATATGCTTGCTTACCTTACATAATGTCTGTGTAATGTCCTAAGTTCAATTCCTAGCACTACAAGATGGTAGGTATGTAGGTAGGTAGATAACCACATATAAGTTGAGAACGGAATGGTAGTTACAGAGGTCAGGGAAAGCAATGAGGGGATGGGATGGGATGGGATGGGGAGAGGTGGATTCGGGTGCAAAATTATAGTTACATACAACCAAGAAGTTCCAACATGCTATTGCATAGTAGCATGACTATTGATAACAATAATTACTATACATTTCAAAAAGCTAAAAGAAGGCATTTTGAAAGCTTCATCAACATGTTAAATATTTGAGAAGATAGATATACTTAACTGTGGGGCATGAGAGTGCATACCTATAATCCTAGCACATGGAAAGTGGAGGCAGGATGATCAGGAATCAAGGCAGAGTTCTACCACATAGCAAGTTTGAGGTGAGTCTGGTGCTACATAAGACCTTATCTTAAAAAAAAAAAAAAAAAAAAAAAAAGATGCAAGCCAGGCGTGGTGGTGCACGCCTTTAATCCCAGCACTTGGGAGGCAGAGGCAGGTGGATTTTGTGAGTTCGAGGCCAGCCTGGTCTACATAGCCAGCTCCAGGAGAGCTGGGGCTACAGGGAGACCCTGTCTCAAAAAAGACAAAAAAAAAAAATAAAGATGCTTAATCCGAGTTAAACATTATACAATGTATAAATGTATTAAGAAACTACACGGCACATCATTAATATGCACAAATTTTATTTTTATGTATCAATTAAAAATTAAAGAAGGAAGCTGGGTATAGTGGCACATGCCTTTAATCCCAGCACTCAGGAGGCAGAGGCAGGAGGATCTCTGTGGGTTTGAGGATTCAAGAAGGAATCCTAAGTGAAAAAGAAAAAAGGATTACACATTGAGATTTCTAGAATTGAAGGTTTTGTTTCCCCTCATTGTATTCTACTCTGATTTTTTAAAAAGATAGGTCTTAATATGCAGTCCAAGCTACCCTAGAACTTGATATGTTGCTCAGGGCTGGCTTTGAACTCAAGATCCTCATGCTTCAACGTCTCAAATTATAGGTGTGTACCAGTACATTCATGTTCTGCTACTTGAAACATTTTCTAATAAGATACCAAATAAGGTACTGGAATAACTCAGAGTGCATATAAATATACTTTTGTTCCAGTAAACAAAACATTTCTTAATTAAAACTAATATTCTGTACCTTTTCTTCAAAAAATCTGCCTTCTAGTCTTCTAAGAGTTTCTTGGTGTTTCTTCTCTGAATTTCTTAAATTTTCTTTCAGCTAAAACAATTTTTTTAAGGGAGAAAAGATATTGTCACAAAGAAACGGGTTGACTGGGCATATTTACAGAAAAATCAGAATGTAAGTATATGTTATACATTACCTCCTAATCTTAAACACACACACACACACACACACACACACACACACACACACACGACAATGTCACCTCTGAGCATATTTTCCTCCACTATCTACAGATTTAACAGATTGGTATTGAGTTTCTGGTTTTTGTTTGTTTTGGTTTTTTGAGGTCTCTGTGTAGCCCCAGCTGGCCTGAAACTCACTATGTAGACCAGACTTGCCTTAATCTCACAGAGATCCACCTGCCTCCTAAGTGCTTGGATTACCTGTGTGCACCACCATGTCAGGCTTAGAAATGTATTTCTTAAAGGCTTTTCATGAATAACAATGGGTTCTCATGGCATTCAGACAAGTTCTCCTAATTATAGTTTCCATTTAAAGTGTGGAACCACAGAATCATAAAATTCTAGACTTGGAAGGAACCTTAGTAATTATATACATATACAGCTTACCAGGCATAAAAAAATAAATAAAAATAAAAGGGAAACTGGTATGGGGAGATGGCTCAGCAGTCAAAGTGCTTCCAAGCAAACAAGAGGACAGGAACTCATATCCCCATTATTCATGTGAATGCCAGAAGGAAGTGGCAACCTACCTATAATTCCAAGGAAACAGGGAATCCTCAAAGCAAACTAGCTAGGGAGACTAGCCTTATCAGGGAGCTCTGGGTTTGACTGGGAGACCCTGCCTCAAAGAACATGGTGGAAAAGTGGTTCAGTAAGATTCTGAACATCAAACTCAGGGTGCCACGCCTTATCAGGGAGCTCTGGGTTTGACTGGGAGACCCTGCCTCAAAGAACATGGTGGAAAAGTGGTTCAGTAAGATTCTGAACATCAACCTCAGGGTGCCACATACACTTTCACACACTTGCACAGGTACCAGCATGCATGTGAATATACACATGAAAAAGGAAATAAAAGAGGATAGTAAAAGTATCTCATAGGTTGTGATAATATGATGGGTTAATCTTCACTGTCAACTTAAGAATCCCCATGAAGGGGCTGGAAGGATGATTCAGCAGTTAAGAGCACTTGCTGCTCTTGTAGAGAACATGGGCTCAGTTCCCAGCATCCATATGGTGGCTCACAACCATCTGTAACTTCAATTCCAGATCCGATATGCAGCACCAGGCATACATGTGGTACACATACATACATGAAAGCAAAACACTCATACACACACACACACACACACACAAAATCTTTTTTAAAATCACCATTTAAAAAAAAAAAACACTTCTGGATGTGTCTATGAAGTTGTTTTCAGAACGGTTCAGCTGAAGATGGAAGACTCACTTTGATGTGGGCAGCACCATTCCATGGGCCAGGACCCAAGAGCACCAGCATTTATAGCTCTCTGCTTCCTGACTGGATGCAATGTGGCTAGCTGCCTCATATTCTTGCCCCCACGACATCCCCACCATTATGGATTGTTCTGTACCCTTATACTGTGAGCCAAAATTATCCTTTAAATTGCTTTTGCCAGTTATTTTGCCCCAACAATGACAAAAGTAACCAATACAGGCAAGAATAACACACACTACAGAAAAAGCACTTAGTGTAGTAACCATCTATTAGCTTGAGTCTTTTTAATATTGTCCTCATCTATGCGTGACAATTTTCTGTATTGTGATCTATTCTAATATTCTTAATTTCTATTTTTTTATTTCTGCCAGATGACAGTTCTTCCTTAATGTATTTAATTTTCAAAATGGATTCTTATATAGTCACTTTCAAAATTAATGTCAACATACCAGTTCATAGAAATATCTTGCAACCTGGTGTCTGTAGAGATGGATCTTTCATATGCCATTAGACTCCTTGCAGAAATCTACACATCAACAACTCTTTCAAAAGATAATTAGAGAAAAAGGAAAAAAAAGCCGGGCATGGTGGTTAATCCCAGCACTTGGGAGGCAGAGGCAGAGGCAGGCGGATCTCTGTGAGTTCAAGGCCAGCCTGGTCTACATATGAGTTCCAGGACAGCTGGGGGCTACAGGGAGACCCTGTCTCAAAAAGACA